CCCCAAAACCCCAAAACCCCAAAACCCCAAAACCCCATAAATCCAAAATTTAAGAATATGTCTGATTATTAAATTAAAATAATATTTACCTCTATTTATAATTGAAATCCATCCAAGCTTAAAACTATATTCAATCATTATTAACATGATGAATAGGTTTCTATGGACTCTGACTAAAGCTTTGATTCATTATTAAATCTTCTTCTACAAAAATGAGTTTACCTTAGTCGTTCATCGATGGTATCTTGTCACCAAACAAATACTCAAATCTGTGCTTCAAGCCCATCACTTATTTTCTAATTTTCTATTAATAATCTTGACCCTCATAAATGAACCTAAGCCTTTTAAATAACTGGCTTTCAACAACGAAAGAAGTGATCTGTATAAACAGTCTGCTACTTTAGAAGCAAAACTTTGCGATATAATCTTCCAGTTAATCATGATTATGATCGCTTGCCAAATCCTTTGAGCTGACTCTTTAGGCATTCTTAACTAAATTATGCTTTATCTCATAATCATTGATCTTTTTCTCAAATTGATCCCTTTGTTTAATTATCTTAAAAATTACTTAGATTTTAGTGATACTTTCATAAATGATCTTGCAGCGGAATAATTGCTTAATAAGTGTCTTCCTAAGACTCACTTTTTTCTCTTCTTAGTATTAATCTAATACTCTATCAAATTGATCAATGAGTCCTAATTTGCCCATTAGTACTTCCAAAGTATCTAGAGCCTTTTCATACATTTCAAGCATTTCTTATTCATTAGGATTCTTGTTCTTTAATATTGTAATCAGATACTAGACTTCTTATTCAGAGTAAATGTTATTCAAGGCATCTTCAAGTATTTCTTTCATTAATTTCTTATTTTTTAAATCAATCTCATATTACTACCTAGATCTATTTGGAAACCTTTATCTATATTTTCTAAATCCGATAGATGATTCTTCTAAACTCTCCATTTCTGTTAACTTTAGAATAAATTACTTGTAAACAGGAGTATTAGTCCATTCTATATTGCTCGTGGGGCTTTTAGGAGGGGATTTACTAGATTATTAAAGATTTATTTGTTCTTATTTTTATCCTTTTTTACCTTTTTTTCCTTTTTTATTTTTATCATCTTTCACTGATTTATTGAATTTCATTTTGTTTATGTCATTAATATTTAAAGTCTTAGAATATTTAGGAAGATCTTTCAATTTGAATTTAGGTGGCTTTATTCTTTTATCTCCTTACTTAAATCTATTTACAGCATCTTAAAGCTTTCTTGTGGACATTAATGAAGCATAATTAGATTTATTAGATCTTTTATTCGACTGTGGGGATATCGACCTTGAGTAAGAAGCACTAGAGCAGAGTTATTTGAACTCGCAGACTTCTTTCAATGGTGTGTGAAGAGTCACTACTGGAGATATCCTTCTAGAATTTCTTGATTACGGTTATTCTAATCGAGCAATTGATTATGATTAAACATTTTATTGTTTACTTTTATAATTTCTTCCAGGTGAAAAATCTCTCATTTTTTATTTAGAATTTTGAGGAGATTATAATGTTTTACTAATTAGTTATTTTTAAGATTGAATTCAAGGTTGATTCCTTGAAGTCTATAAACCTGATTTGGAATCCTTTTTGTTATAGATGCTGTTAATGTTTTCAAGTTAATTATTTATAATTAAAGTGGGAGAATCTAAATTTCTAGAATCTTTATTAGGGCTGAGAGGTCCTCCATCTTTTCGAGATTTTTATACATCTTTTAAATTGCTAATTTGCTCTTTCAAACTTAGTTGTTCTGGAGGCTGTTTATATTTAACGTCTACTTTGAAAATAGTTTAGTCATTTAGATTAACAGTAGATTATTCATTCAATTGCTTTACCATTGGCAAAATTAATCTATCTCCTTCATTCTTTTATATTTTCATACCCATATTTATGTTTGACTTATTTCTATTGATGGAAGACTTACTTATCAAAGACACAGCTAAAATTGTGCTATCTTTATCAAAAGTGTTGACACTTTCGTCTATCAAGTCTTAAGTAATGTTCAATATTCTATCTCTAGTAGTTTTATTATTTTTACTGGCAGATACATGTTTAGTGAATTTATTTTATAAAGTTCTTTACTGCTTTTAAATATATGTACCGAGGTTTTATAGACTTTTTTCTTAGGCATTTTTTATAAATGGCCTAATATTGTAAGCCATTTCTAGTAAGTGGTCTTTGCTATATCTGGAATCATGTAATGTGTCAGGTACCTTCTTAAACATTTTCTTCTAAAGAGTTTTAAAATCAGTCTTTGGAATTCTATCATCTGGATTTAGTTATTAAATAATTTAATTCTTTTCAGCTTTTAAAGTAGAGGCTGTATTTTGATTTCTCCCAACAGATGTAATAGTTGATATATTTTGAACCTAATTTTGCTAATAATTAATATTGCTTGATTCCATATTATTACTGTTGGCTATATTAGATTGCTGCTTTTAATTTTCCAGCAGGTTCTGCATGAACTTGGGTAAGTACTTCTTACTCTTCAAATCTGTGCATTTCTTTTATCTAGAAGCCTGACTTCTGCTTACATTATTAGTATCTCAAATAGTAAAGTAGTCAGAAGACTCAGCCTAAGATTAATTATTTTGATGCCTCATTTTCATTTGAGATTCTTATAATTCTCTTAATTTTGTTTTAAGCTATAATTATATTTATTCTTGAAAATATTTCACTTACATCTATATTGTGATTTTATGATTTGGATTTTTGCTTGATATTTGGTAAGGACTATTCCTTCCTGAAATCGCTTCTTTCATAATCTGAAACCTACAACCATCATTAAAATTAATTAATTATTACTTAATGATTCAAATAAGGTATTTATTTCTTGGCAAGAGTCATATTTTTATTTCTGGCATCAAAGGTACCCAGGAACTATGTCTAGTTGTAGTATGATGCATCCTTGGGTGTTCCCATTTTGAAATTTTAATTATACATCGAGCTAACATCAGTCTTTTTTTAAGAGAAATTATAGCTTTTAAATCGCTACTTTTGCCTTCTTAGATCCATTGATTCGCTTTACTAAGCTAGAATAATATTATCGTTCTCCATTAACTCAGTTTCGATTTATTAAAGAATAGAGTTATTATTGCTTATGTTAGGCTGAGGCACCACTCCTGCAGCATCATTCTAGGACATGTAATCTTGATACTCTCCATTATTTATATTTAGGTACTCAGGCTTTGATTGTTTATAAGTTCTTCTGCTCGCTCGCTACGAATCATCAAAGATAATCGATCTATTTTTATAACTATCAATCTCCGGGAAACTATCTCTTCTTTGATGTGAAGGCAGAGGCAGCTGGCTTTCTAATTTTCGAGAATAATACTATTTCCTCGCTGTGTTATCAAAAGTTGATTAAAGATTTTAAGGAGTGTTAATATAATTAGACATGTACTATTGATTTCAAGTTGTCATTGGATTAGAATCATTAGACAACTCTTATATCTGCTTAAACAAGAGTTGATCTCTCTCAATAAGAGCCTCCTTTAATCTCATGCTTTTATTTTTCTGATAAATATTTTGCATTTTAATAATTGCAAATACCACTATTTTACTATTATTATATTCATTGGGGTTTTGGGGTTTTGGGGTTTTGGGGTTTTGGGGTTTTGGGGTTTTGG